TTGAAGCAAATCTTTCAAATCTTCGCAGTTTTAAGTGGATTGGTAGTAGAGGCCATTTAATAAACTATAATATTCGATTTATCTACAGATACTGCAGAATTATCCATGGAGCATATATTCAAATTTTCATCGCTACGTTTGTTCTAACAACCATAAAATCAAATTTTGTTATAGATTCTAAACAGTTGGGCAGGCGGACATGGTTAGGCACATTTCGAATTTGAAGCTGGTGAAGAATTTTATCCTACCGCGGCTTGTAAAAAAAAGTGGCGCTGGGTACACAGGATTCGGCCCAAGTCGAATGTAACTTTCTTACTTGTTTATTGTGTAATAAAAACTAAACGATAAAAGATACCAAGATGATTTTTTTTTTTTTTTTGATAATATAGGATCATGTCATTTTGATTTAAAAATGGTTCCATGTAAATGACCGTCTCCGGATTTCTTTAAAAATTGATATTCCCTACCTTTTATTTCGTTTTTCTTTCTTCTTTTCTTTATCTCTTAAGGGTTTATAACAAAGATTACTCAAATTTATACAAACATATGTAATATGTTAGAAATTAGAGGCACTTGTTCTCTACATCCCCTTATAATCCCATGTTAGTATATATAAAACACAATTAGTTGCTGTATTAAAGATAGTTGTAAGAGAGATATGTTACGTTAGCACGTGTGGATGAAGGACTTAAACGAACTGTATTTGTTGAAAGACACAAGTTCTTAAGATCTTTTCTAAATTTGAGCAACGAAAAAATAAAATGTGCCTTAAATATCTTAATCTTTTGCACTCGAATGGCGCCCGAGAGGCGCAGTTAGTATTTTATATAATGTTGTACGTTAAATTTTGCAAGCTTTGTAAATTTTTTTACTTGGTGTGAGATTATATATCCGGTATATATCAGATGGTGGACACTTAGATCATTCAGTCTGAACACTATAGAGTTTCTAGCAAAATCGTAGCAAGATTTTTGATATTCTGTTAAGCGAAAGCATTGGTAATTAAAGTTACTTTTTTATGACCTAAGGTCATAAAAATGGATTCGAAGTTTTTAGCAGCGAAGATGAGATCGAGATGGTGTTTAAATCGATTGAAAACATTCTAAATGAACGGGGAAGACGGAAAAAGGAAGTCCTGAAAAAGCTACGATACACCTTGAAGAGTGCTTCCTCAAATATCACACTAAGGGAGATTGTAAAATTTGATATTAAAATATTATGTTTGTAGCATGCAAAGAAAAATGAAACATGTAAATAAACTACTGTTGTTTAAAATTCTTATATTTGATGTGTTACAGTATTTTATTAAAACTACTGTCGGGTAGCTGAATACCCATACTTTCGTAGTGTTCTTTCATTTCATCTGTTGCATTATTGTTTTGATGCTAAACAGCTGTTTAGGTACAGGTTATCAAGTTTAATATTCGCAGATTCGGCCGACTGATTCGATGATGATGATGACAATGCTGTCGCATGGGTCAACTCTCACAGGAAAGTTTCAGCAACAATGCCAGCAAAATTTTAATCAAAGAAATTTTCTCTGTCAATATTTTGTATTGCGATCGCATTTGACATTTTATGTTTATTGTAAATCCATTTTGCAAACATTTATTGCTGTTTTGCTTACATAACTTATAATGTTTCTATAGTTCAATGTTTTTATTGATTGTTCAGACTATTATAGGGCATAACCTATGTTGCTATTATTTGTTTGTCCAATGAATTTTTAGGCTCTTCCAACGTACATGAATTGGCTCAGAAAAAAACACGTAGAAGACTTTTCACAAAAATCATCAAGTCGCCAACACGCACCAATATGCGGAATACTGACTTCTACCATTCACTTGTCACTTGCGTCAGTTTATGGTAATAAAATATTAAAAAAATTAATAATTTTCAAAGTAAATTAAAGATAAACAAATAAATACAAACCGTATGATTGTTTAATCTTTAAAATAATTCAAGAGCTTGAAATAAGCAGAAAGTAAGATCAGCAGGGTTGCCAAATATAATATCAAGTTAATATATCATTCCTTATCTATTTCAGTCATAATATACAGACAATTATAAGATGTTCTCATATAAAGGCTTGTTTTGGACTTGTGTAGTTCAAATTTTGCACAATAAAATTATATGAAAACCTTGGAATTAGATTTCGTGGCCGTAGAAAGCTTTACTTTTCATCGGAGCTGGTCAAAAAACACAAATATAGCAACGTTTAAAAGAGATAGTATTCGAAATATAATCCCATCCCGTCCAACATTTCCACACTCACTAAATGTCAATATGTTACGTTTTAACGATATTACTAGATAAATATTATAATATACATATATACATATGTATTCTCAATAGGAATCAATGTAACATATTTTATCAAAACTTCTCGGAAATTGCGACTCATAACTTAAGCATAAAATTGCATGGGCATACGATGGGCAGACAAACGGATATTAATAGTACAGAGAAACTTATATAAATCGATTCAGAAAAATGCACTAAATCGATCAGTACAATAAAAAATGGATCTCCCTGCAATCTTTACAAACATAATTTATATACTCTTACTACTAGTAATGTAGGATATAAAGTTCCATACTGTTACTGTTACGTACCATATACCTGCCAAAAACGAAGTGTTTGTGTTCGTATTCAGGAAAAGTTCTTTGAGGGTCTTAAGGAGACATGGTAAATCATCCCTTTTTTTATGCCATGGAATTCTGTCTAATTTATGCAATTAACAGCCACAGCTGCAAGCAATTTTGAAGAGTAATCAACACAAGACAGTTATATTCGGTCATGATCGAATCTTTTATATAGATCATCGACCTAAAAAAAGAGGAAAAAAATAAGTCTACATTCTCGATAACATTTGGCGGCCGGTTTTTCAATTTTGAGAATAAAAGTGGAAATTCATATGATGTGTGTGCTGTATTTTATGAGTAAGAAGCAAAAAATACGGGAAGCAATAGTGCGCACAGCTTTTGCCACGTAGGCGCGTTATTTAAAAAGTTAAGATCTTTTTTAAATTCTGTTGTAAGTTTGTAGGCGAATAAAAAAAAATGTTTGCCACAGATATTACATAGTTGCACAGACGGACAAATGGACATTACATTAATAAATAATTAATTTCAAACTGACCAAGATTTTATATACTTCATGGGGTCATTGAAGCTTGCTTCTGCAGGTCGACTATAGAATATACATTCCATTTTTGGTAGATTTTTGTTGCTTTTGAGAAACAGGAATATCCTCACTTTATCCATAACTTTAGGCGTGTCTTACGACCGATTTGGCCCATTTTCTATACGAGTCGATTCATTTTTCCGGCCAAGAGAATGTTTACAACAGACAGATGAGCAGACGGACAAATGAAAATACTGAAATCTATCTAGAATTTGATGCTGATCAAGAATATATATATATATATATATATATATATATATATTGCACGCAATTTCTAAAGCTTCCGCCTGGACATTGGAAACGTTTTGCCAAATGAATATATCACTCATGGGCACATTAATTATTTTTAGAATCACAACACGCGCAAGAAAGTGCGCCAGATTTCATGCTAACCTACAGAACAAACGACAACCAAGTCTCCCGTTTTCCGAACTGTATCTGGCCACAATTGTGTTTGGAATGTCAGGTAGCGCTCGACTCTTCTACAAAGTCACCCCACAATTCTATGCTCTTCCCTGTAGACTACGACATAATGTTTAATTGTTTCTAATATCATTATAGTTCAAGTTTTTATACCCAACAGGGTTCATGGTACAAGATATATTAAGTTAGTGCGGACTTATGTAATACGCGGACTTATGTAATACAGCTTAAAATAGACTAAGCTTTTATTACACCCATCTATTCAGAATCACAATCTGAATTAATCTAAGCCTGTCCGTCCATCCGTCCGTCTTATGTCTGTCCATGTAAATGTGTGTTCAAGTTACAGGACGCAATTTTTAGGATAATTTAACGCAATTTGGTATAGTGAAGTATTTTGAACCAAGGACGAACGCTACTGAAAATAGTTTGGAACCGTTTATTTTTCGACTACTCCACTCGGAAATGCCAACATTTCTAAATTTTTCGGCAAAAGTGGCCAAGTAGGAGTATTTCGGCCTTTTGTATTGGTATGAAAACTTTGGACCGGCCGGGTCCATATTTGAATCTCCTCTCATGTAAGAAAAACTGAAGTTCATACGACAAAAAAGTATAATTTTCAATGCTTCATAATGAAAATAGTAATTTAACAAAAAAAAAATTAACTGTACCAAATTTGAATCACCGCAGCCTATTTTTTCGAACCTTCTCTAATAAGAATTTTCAGAACAATTCGTCCTTTCTAGAGTAAAAAATCCTAAACTTGAATATGTGGTATTGAAAATTGACCCATAATAGTAATTTTATACAAAAATGAACTCTATAAAATTTGGACCGTATACGCTTATTTTTGGGATTTCCATTGAACTTGGATAAAGATTGAACTTGTACTACCTACTAGGTTGCTCGCTTAGATTGAGCGCGCTTCTCAATAGAAACAAGATATAATTTTTGTGTTCTATAATAAAAATAAGAATTGTGTCAGACACTATAGTGTGAGGTATTGAATAGTCGGCCTCGCCCGACTATAATGTTCTTACTTGTATTTTTGGAAATTTTTTTCACTGTTTTACTTGTTACAAAAGACAGATAAATCAAATTTTCGAATAACTGCTTATATGTATGCAAACAAAGACGACGTATGGCTTTGGGTTACCGGTTATATACTTCAAAATGAAAATTTAGAGAATTTCTTATTTTGGAATTAAACAGTTGTTCGTTCATTTCTTCCGGTTATTGTTTTTTTGTTTTTTTTTGATTATTTCCTGATTTTTTTTTGTTTTAATTTCGGGTTTAATTTTTATTTGCATTTTTCGGTGGATACTTTTTTGTTTTTTTTTTCTTTTTTGTCTCGGTTGTTGTTTGTTTTGCAATGTACTCGAGTTGAAATTATGGCGTCTTCGATGATGAAAACTATTCGTTTCGTAACTCCTTTAAGAAAATTACATCGTAAACGTGGCAACGATAGGAAATCCTTGCAACAAACCTCAGTGAATTTGGTAGTCGTCCAAGCATTAAAGGCTCTTCAAATTATTAAGGATACTACGGCGCCGAGTAAAATACATCCAGAAGATATTCCTAATTTTCTATTCCGTTGGACGCAAGAGCACCACCGCTCGAACGAACCATTTAACATTGTTTGGTATCAGGTATTAATAAAACACTACGATGAAGAAAGTGTGGCAATTGAAAAATTTTTAATAGATATGAACGAGATGACAACTTTCATGTTGCTAATATTAAATAATTATATAGACAATTGCGATCCTGAATATATACGATCATTATTAGAGTAAGCGATATAAACTTAATTAACGGATCTATTTTTGTTTGTATTGAATTATATGTTCGTGTTTTCTTTTAAGCGGTGCGGTTAAGTACTTCAATTACGATGAAAAATTGTGTAAACTTATGAGAGACTACAAAAAGTCCATGTATGCTAAGCAAGCCTCCGACTTTATAAATCGTGTAAAGAAAGCAATTAAAAGCAAGCCATTAAATCCTGATGAACTAAGTAAAATTTTTCATATTCCTATTCAATCATATGAATGGATTGTATATGCATTCTTTATTTAGATATAGATAATATTAAAGTTCGTGCCAGATTAGAATACGAAGATTCTAGACGTTATCAAATGGAATTGATGTTAAGTCTCGCCGAACAAGAGTTGATTGATAAGATCAGTCAACAAAACGACATTATGGAACATGAGGACAAGTGTAACTCGCTTATAATGAATGCTTATTATGGCTATCAAGATGTATAGATTATGTATAAATTATTATTATTATATTCATATACCGAATGGATGTTCTTTACACCTTAGGAATTGATACGAAAATATTCTAAATGCGAAAAAAATTATCTGGCGGTAGAGGAGACAATAACGCATGAAGTACAAATCTTAAAAACGAAAATGCAGAAATTAAAGGATTCATACGAATTTTATCATGAAGAATATAAACAAATTAACCAAAAAATGTCCCTGATGTATAGAGCAAATAATGCGCGCGCTGCAAAAGTAAGCGATTTTTTAATTGATATAAAAAGTTTATCTAAATATTTGTGATCTTGTTTTCACTCAAAATCTTTTGTTTTTGTTATTAATTTTTATTTATAGCTCGCTCAGTTGAATGGGCGAATCACTTCAAAGAGGCATCTCGTTCCGAAATCAAGCTATAAACGAATTAAATTGAAAAAAATTAAAAACTCCATGAAACCATCAGAAGTTTTATAATGAAAAGAAAACAAAACAAAAACTATAAAAAAATTACAAAAAACGTAATAAAAATTCAAAATTAAAAACCAATCAACTAATCAAGGCATATATTTCTTTCTCCTACACCAGTTGCGGTATAGGATATATTAAGCTAGTGCGGTCCCATGTAACATGCGGACTTAAAATAGATCGACCTTTTATTATTCGGATCGATTCGGAATTATAATCTGAATTGACTTAAGCCCGTCTATCCGTCTATCCGTCTGTTCGTCTAATGTCTGTCCATGTAAATGTATGTTCAAGCTACAGCTCGAAATTTCGCAGTGACGTGTTTTTACCCAAGGACGAACGCTATTGAAAACAGTTTGGATCCGTTTATTTTTTGACTAACCCCTATAACGCCCCATTCCGAAATGTCAAGTTTACAAAATGGTTTGGCAAATGTGGCGAAGATAGTACTTCGGCATTCTGAATTGCTATGAAAACTTCGTACCACCCGCAATGTCCATACGCCTATGCGACAAAAACTCTTGAAAATAGAAATAAATCAGCTGCGCTCACGCTCCATGAAGAGCATGAAAATATAGTTCTTTTCCTGTTTTTGCTACTTTTTGAGTTAATGGTGATGGATATGAAAGGTTCGGATACGACCGAATATAGTTTTCTTACTTGCTTCTTTTGCTTCTATTTATTCATCTATTTGTTTTTTTTTTTTTTATTAGTTTTACTTCCGTTGTAAAAGTTTAAATATTTACAATGTCTACTCCTTCTGATCGATTAATTAAATTTAATTAAAAAAAAAAAAAAAAATTAAATTTAGTAATTTTCCCATTTTGTTTTTAGGATGGATATAAACGATTCGGACACGATCGAATACAATTTTTTTTATTTGTTTTTACTAGAATTCACTTCTTTATATCGCATTCTTAAAAGTCTTACACGATGGTCACTCTATGTCGAATACAAACTCTCCTAAAATTGCAAAAAGCAGAGAGAGTTGATGCAACAACACACACACAAAACAATCTAAATGCACGCAGAGAGCAATTAAACAACTTGTGAAGTTGAACTCGATATAGACAACTAAGCATCAAGGTATGGTCGAATTCATGACTCTTCAATTGTTTAGGCACAGCCAAAAATGTTTACGATGACGACCTAAGGGCACGGTTTAATGATGATATGAAATATGAAATTTGTTTTTTTATGACGCTACGGTACGGGTATGAATTATCTTTGGTAATTATATCAAGCTATGCTTAACTTGCTGACTTGCATCATTCCCAGCTGATGCGATTGATAGCTTATCACAGAACATAATATGTCAGATGACGACGGTTGAGGATCAAAGTGTGATAAATATCGTTTTTAACGTCAATCACGAGATTCATCGATAAACAATGTTGCCCAAGTAACGCTTATCAAAATATCATTCAATTGATATTGTCTTTATATCTCTAGCGATAACAATGCTATCCTCATATTTATGTTATTCATTGATGCATATTTGGATAAAGGACTTTCGGTATATGTATAATAGTTTTCATCTTTTTCGTCCGGGTGAAGTGAACGCTGTTTTCGGCGGCCATCAGAATTGATGATATACATATGTTAAAGGAAAATGGGAAAGAAGAAAAAAAAAGAGATTATTTTCTGCGCGCGGATGGGTCGAGTGAACAATTTTCATTTACTATGACAAATTTTAATTTTCATTATTAATTTTGTTTTTTTTTTTTTTTTTTTTTTTTAAAAAAATTTCTTAAAAAAAAATTTTTTTTTTTTTAATTTTATTTATTTATTTATTTTATTATTTTTTTTTTTTTGCTATTTGTGATACGTTCTTGTGCATGTACAAGTTGCTACGTACTCTCATATACTCTACACAAACTCTTACTCTCTAACGACTCAGCAATAAGTGAGCATTGGGAGCTCAATAATACGATCGGACTGGAGTATGCATAAAAATGATTAAAAAACATCAAATAGTAATACAACTTAAGTGTTATGTTGATGCCGCATTTTTATTTAGTTGGCTTTTGCTTTTGTTACGTGAATCTATGTGAAATTTTAATATCGCTTTGTATCCCTACGTAATATTATATAAATCTGTGTAAGCAAATAAAAAACATATGTAAACGTATATACCATTATATGTATGTTTATGTGATAAATAAGTTAAAGAAAACAAGTTTTTTTTTTTTTTATTTTCAATACATAAATAACACCGGGAATATAATCAAAATCATATAAGCGAAAGAAAGGTAAAAGAAAAAAAAAAAAAAAAAAAAACTAATAATTGATATAAACAAAATAAAGTAAGCGATTTCTAGAAATCATATATATACATATATAAATATTTTAACCGTTTGTAAATTTTGCAAACCAGTTGAATAGAAGGTAAACGTAATGAACACAATTTTTGTAAAAATTGCACAAGAAGAAAAATGCGAAAAAAAACAAAAAATAATTTTACGCAAAAAATTCACTGAAAACTGAGAAATGCGCCTGCATAAATGTGTGGGTGGTTATAGGTGTGGATGTGTACAAGTGTGTGTTTGTGTTTTATTTGAAAAACCAGGTATTACACTAATAAATATATTCTTCGTACACACTCCATTAAGTTTGTATCGTTGAATCGTTAATTTCAAAAGTGGCCTAAGTTCATTTTCTATAAAAAAAAAAAAACTTGAACATGTACGCATTATCTTCAAATTTCAAATATTTCCTATCAAATCAACGAAATTTGGGGATATGCACAAAAGTACATGCATTTAAATTCACTAATAAATATGTGTCATGTTTGCAAAAATTTTGATCATTTTTTCAGTCAATTCGTGTCGGCATTTTTCAACTATTAAACCCAAAACCGGCACTTGAGAGCTGATGGAACAGCAACACCATACATAAGCCTCTGAACGTGCTCGGTGGTCTTCGGCTGCAGATCACTTCAAATAAACAAGAAAAATAATGAATTTGGAAGAAGCAGAATTTTGAGTGTTGCATGATTAGGACTAACGATGGACGCTGAATGAATCAATCATATTAAATGGAAAACTCTTATTATTTTATGTAGAGGAAGGTCAAAAACCTCCAATTCAACCGCCATGTATATTGATATATCCCATTTCTATATAATTTTCAGTTGTGGAAGTCGCTGATGAAAATTTTTACAAACACCTTATTAGATAGACTTTCTCAGGACGGCTATGCACTTTGTAGCAGTCATAAATTGATAAAAACGTTTAAGATTCAAAAAGTCATCTAAACATTTTTGTGACTATTTTTCGGGATTACTTTCATTTTCTTCGCACGAATTTTGAATTGTTTGTAGTTGTCTTCTACAATATTTCAATTGAAACTTTGGGAGCATTAAGCTCTTTCGAAGCTACAGTCTCAATCGCGACACCACACATACTAATTGTCTCTTGTCAGTGATTGATTTGCCGTTAAATCTGTCCGAAAAGAGGGATGAAGCTCGATCGAATTATTTATTTCATTGAAGCAGAAAAGACTCTGAAAATTAATGCAGAGTTTTAGCTTAATATTCTACTAACTCAAAGATTTCTTAATTCTGGCAACACTGGCTAAAAGCCGTTTTTTGGGTCACGAAGGATTTTTTTTGTTTTTATAAATGAATTCAATCGGCCCGCTAATATTCGCGGAGAGAGCGATAAATCCGAAAAATAACTTTTCGCCAACAAGTGAAGAAATGGCCGTAATCTAGCTCTCACTATAAAAAAAGAGATCAGCAGTTATTGTCTTCTTTAACCTTGTTAAAGTCCCATAGTAAGAGAAATCAGTTAAGTTAGCGCGAAGATTTGCCTAAAATAACTAGAAAAAATATGTGTAAATGTGTTTATCAATCGGATCAGAGAACTCACTTTCAATCATCGAAAACGGCGCTCTAGCCTCCCTTTTATAATTTGTGTAAGAATGAAATTTGAAATATCGTATATTATTAGTATTTTTCGGTTCTCTTGGCAATATACGATTCCCGGTACATTTTTGCAATCATGTATTGTAACACGTATTCACTTTACAAACGATCGAATATGCGAAATAATAATAATAATAATAATAATAATACTTACGTGAAACTTTCCTTCTAATGATGAATGAAAGCGAATTTGATGCATGAAATTGTGAATTGAAAGCTATCTTGGGAATAGAAAATAAATTTTTTGCTGATTATTTTTTACTCATCGTTCGAAAGTAGAATATACCAGATCCATTCGCCTTCCTACATATATGCAATTTCCCGAAATGCGCGATCATTGAGTTTATAAAATATGTATATGTAATGAGATATATATGTAATGTATATATATATATATACATATATATATATATATGTATATGATGTAAGTAGTTTATCACGTTAGTATATCAGTTTACCTCTGCGTCGTTGAGTGGTGAAAGACCCATGTTTGCAAAAACTTAGATGAAAAGTCAAAAACATTACATATATAGGTCCCTTCAAAAAGATCAGCAATTTTAATAATTTCAAACTCTTGATCTGCCAATATACAATTGATATTTAGCAAAGTTTACATTTAATCTTAAAATATAACCACTCTTTTTCCTTTCTCCTCCTTCTTTCCCTTTTTTCTGTTTTAACTTTGCTTGAAAATGATATTATCTTGATATTATCCTATTATATGCACTTAATTGATGACTATAAATTTACCTTGAGAATGGATGCGACTCTTACATAGCAAGATACCTAACTTATGTAAAACTTTTTAGAAATATTTCGCAAATAAATGTATGTGATCGAGAAAATGAGTAACTGTGAGGCGTACCATCAGTGCAAGTTTCACGCGATTGAATGATGAAAAATTGCAATTTTCGATCAAAACGAGAGTTATCGTCTTCGATAATAAAAGACAATTTCTCGGAGATGTCCTACATATTTCTCGTTAAAAGTCCATTGTAAAGATATTCTTGGAAAGTCTTGAAAATTTTGAAGAATCGTATATTACAGACACGCCTTTATGTTATAATATATATTTTGATTATTTCTCCGCATTACTCTAGAAAACCAGGAACATAAAAATTTTCTTCCAAGTTTAAGTATTTCTTTCTCGTTCACCTTTCTTAATGATTTTTTACTCATAGATATTTATTTTCCTACATCCTTCGAAGAAAGGATTGCACGTGTTACTCCTTAAAGTGCATTGCAACAAAGGCAACGGGCGAATTCATAAAACCGTCGAATACATTCCAAAGAAGCACTGACCCCTTTCGAATCCTTCTCAGCTTCGTATCGATTGCACGATACGGGTGATATATTTCTGTTTGGAAATGCTTCTAAATGTATGGATACTTTCTAAAGATCTGTGTTAGTGTAAACGACATTGCGACTGTTGATTAGCAACAGACACTTATTTCACATAGATAGACGAAAATTTCGAAAAGGAAAAAACTTGTTTCAAATAATGAATTATTTTTTTACATATTCTAGAAATTCTAGAAGGATCTAATAAGAAGGGGAAAAATTACAAAAATGAATTTTTCCCAGTGTTATACAATAAATATATTTTTGTAATTGATTATTTTAACGTTAACTAATGTGTTTAGGATTCTGTCGTTAGACATAAAAATTTTTTTTTTTTTTTTTTTTTTATTGTTATCACAATTTTCATTCTTTTAATGATCTCTTTATGTCAGTTAATTAACATGTGCGACCGTAAACAAGCTCAACTACTGTAACGGTAACAGTTGAAAAACTTCAAGTTATGTTTGTTCGTTTGTGTGCATGCAAAAATATAATGGAGTATGTTGATATTTAAATTAACTCAAAACGCAACATATACGTGTAGAGAAATAAAATATCAGGTAAGTTCAAGTATGACGTCATAGAGATTAAGTTACAAAAGTTAAATAAAAAAAAATAATTAAAAAAAAATTGAATATTTGTAAAAATAATTAACAATCTAAACAAATAATGCCAACAATTAATTAATTTCACTCTATCTCTCTTTCTCTTTCTCTCTCTCTCTCTCTCTCTCTCTCTCTCCCTGAAATAACAAGAGCTTCAATAAAGGTCTGAGGGTTAAACGGCATATGTCAAACGGTTGATGTACAACAAATTCTACAGCAATTCGATCTTACGTTTATTTAAGACTTTCTTGTTTCGTATCTTTTACCCAATCGTCAATTTCTGCAAGTCATTTAAAAGACTACTAATTAGCTTTAGAGCTGTATTAATAAACCTACGTTCGTTTCATCTGTAAAAGAAACCCCGCCTACACACAAAACAAACATAAAATCATTAATTATGTTGCAAAGCTTTTCATTCGTAGAATTATAAGCAAATTTTAAAATTTATAATTTTGCGCTTATGTCACATTGCAAGCTTCTATGTATTTGGTAAAATACAAACTAAGCCATCTGAAGCCCATTTACAAGAGGTGCTAATATTGTCTGCTACCAAACACTTTATATACGAATACTTTTTTTGCGCTTTTAAGTCGTTATAATTTTCGATATGACGAGTTATACAGTGGAAGTGAGGAAAAAAAGACAGAAATGGGGAGATGGTGGTCGTAACGTAGTGGGTGTATGCCCAAATGGGTAAGTGCTACGCCTTCACCGACCGAGTACTCACTATAGCTACAATGGAAGTGTACTCTACCGCCCTGGCATGTGAACCCGCGAATACTCACTTGTGATTCCTATCTATTTGGCTACTCATGCGATCTATTCTTTAACATTTTTTTGTTTTTTTTTTTAATGGTTTTTTGTACCGCAAGTGTTGCAGAGTATAATCACATTTTAACGAGAAATCCATATGATAGTTTTGATAGCTTAATTTAAGCGTCTCTTAGAAAAAAAATGGCCTTTTTTTGAGGGCGACAACTGATCTTTTCCCGTTCAAATACACACCTAATACACAAAGATGAATATTTTTTATATTCCTCTACCTTTGTAAATGCTTGACATGTAGATTAAATGAAACTTGGGCCAATTGCGCGAACCTGCCAGTTTAATGATTTTTACCGACCTTTTTTTTTTCTTTTTTTAATCCTCAGATAAATGCTTAATAACCTCCTCGCTTATTATGATTTTATTATGTTAACTCCCATCGATTTTATTATCACTGTACCTTCCCCTCTTAAGAGATTGAATTGAATTCATGATGTGTTCACTTAAAGAAGTGCATGACATCAATAAATTAAGTTGTCAAGTTTTGTGAATGACTTCGTAATAGCAGACATCTATTTTTATTGAATAAAAAACAAATGTCCAAATATTTTAATATTTTATTTATATTTATTTATTTATATATCTTTGATGTAAATTGATGATGATACAAACATTTGAGGAATTTATGATTTTCTCTACCGTAACGACCTAAGAATTATGCAAAATTTCACCTTAATCGAAGACGTCGCAAAGGGCCTATTGAGCATCTCTATAAATTTTGCATTAAAAATAAACAAAATTAGAACATTTACCTAAAAATTATGGAACCTTTAATGGTAAAAATTTGAAATTCAAAGGTAGAGAGAGAGAGAGAGAGAGAGAGAGAGAGAGAGGGAGAGAGAGATAATATTATTTAATACATATACATAAGAAAATAAAAATTAAGCGAACACTGAGTAAGCTTTCTTGCCAACCTAATAGGTATTTAAACATCGAGCGAGAAAATTTCGAAAACATTCTTAAATATTACTGCGGCAAAGATTGACATGTTTTATAAACATTAACAACCACTTCCGCCATATTCAACTTTCACTTCGACATACATATACTGCGCAATGAAATGCTTGTATAAATAAAAACAATTTATATCCGCAAAATGTTTTTCTTCTTTTTGTTTTACAAAAACGCTTAATTATTTAGCTGCATTTACGTGATGTACTCATATAAACGTAAAACCAATTAACCGAATATACGAATATATATATTATGTAAAACTCCTTGTTGTTTTTCTATGCTATCAATGATATTCCTTGAATTAATTTCATTCGTTGGCATGGGTTTAACAAAATTCGAATAACTGACTATCTATAGGAAATTATTTACTTCATTTCACTATACAGGTAACTTCCGTATACTGAGGAACTCATTCTAATGCGCTTCGAGAGTTGGATAAAAACCTCATATATAATAAAATATATATAATAAAACTATCCGCCTGAGTGGCCGAGTAGGCAAGAGTCTCGACTAACAACTCAATGGTCGTGGATTCAAATCTCAAGTGCGGTAGAGTTTTTAATAAATTTATAATAATAATAACAATAATAATAATAATAACAATAAAACTATCAGGGAAATCCCCTAGTTTTACTAAAAAAAACTTACTCTATAAGGCATAAAGAAAGGCCTACATTTAGCCGAACAGTTACGAGTCACATTTCTTCAAAGAAGATTCTTCAAATGAAAGGAACACAAAGTTGAAAGGAGAGAACTTAAGCACCACATAAGGAAATTCATAAGGATCTTTGCAAAAGGCCCAGTATTGATCTGAAGATCATGCGGAAAAATGCTCAGAGGATGAGGAGATCTTGAGGAGGCAAAATGACGAAGAAAATATTGCTTAATTCATATTTGAATAAAGATATTTATTTTAATTATGAAAATAAGATTTCTTGAACCAAACCAATCTTTTTCTTCTTTGCTAGATCTTTGTTTCGCATAACGCGAAAACTCTTCCGTCTTATACGCGCATTTGGCTGTACTTAGATTCATCACTCGAGCACACGAGCATTAACATACTTGATCGATCGACTTTTTTTTCTTTCGATCATGAATATCGTAATTTGTTCAGGTGTTTTTGCAAATCTTCTTGCAAACGCAGAATTTCCACTTCAATTGGTTCTAAGGAATATTCGTTCATTTCGCCAGCTGCGTAACGATTCGGATCATAAAAATTCTTTATTGAAAAATATGATTATATTTCCAACATTTTTTGAGAATTACATTTTCAACTAAATTTAATGAGTTTCCTATGCAAATTCATTTTCTCGAATATGTTTTTTTTTTTTTTTTCTCCCTACAAGTAAGTACCTTATATACGTAAATCCAATAAACGTTTCTTTCATATATCGAATTGTTTTATGATAAATGCATCTATCACGAAGTATTTTTTTTTTATTTTTTTTTTTATAAAAATATTCCAAGTATTTGTTGCAAATTTTATTCTTTAATATTCCATGCCTTTGGTGAAAATTGTGTAAACACGTTTATACTTAGGAAAGCTTTAAACAAATGTATGAGAATGTGTGCGTTTCTTTACGTACAAGAATGACAAAGAATATCGAAAAAAGAACTCACTTGGAATGCGGTTTTTATACACTTAACAAAAATAATCAGTATTTGCGAGACATTTTAACAAAAAAGAAGAAGTAAAACATGTACAACATGCATACATATATCAAATTTATGTCCACAAAAGTTGATTTTCTTTTAATTTTTTCTTTAAAAAAAAAAAAAAAAAAAAAAAACAAATCTAGTTGTCCACTTGATGCTCAAGTAAAATGGATATTAAATAATCGCTTTTCAAATAATAACATTCAGTAATGCTTATGCGGTAAAAACCAAGCCAAACAGGTTATTTACGGGATTAAAATGGAAAAAAAATTTTGTTATGGTAGAGAAACGCACGAATTCGCTAAAGCTTAACTTGATTTTTGGTTATTTTCCTTTAAAATGGAAAATTGTTCAACGAGCATAATAACCGAGAGACTGAGAGAGAGAGAGAGAGAGAGAGAGAGAGAGAGAAAATTGCACTTTACAACGAATCTTCGATGGGTTAATTTTTTTAATTAATTTTCAGTAATAATTTCATAATGAAAAGTATGCGTACTCCTTTCACTAACATCGAAGACATTTCAAAATTTCAAATTGAGTTCAGCAAAAAAGAAATTTCACTTCTTTTTCTTTCCCTTATTATATTTAAAGGAGGAAGAAGAAGAAAAAGAAGAAGAAGAAGACGATACATAGCCACAATAATTCCCGAAATGTACTTCTTCTTATCTATTTATTGCGCTAAATACTTGATTCTATAAACTTTCCTTTTTAATATGAAACGGATGAAAAAAGTGTAGTGGAACTCGGCTTTTACACTCTCTACTTCACAGTTATTCATATGACGATGGTGTTGTATAGAAAATTGTCGAAAAAGTAAATCGACTCCAACCATTTTCAAAAGCGTTTCTTGTGCCTTGGGGTAAAACATCTTAGAGTGTTTATCAAAGTTTTTCAAAAATCGCGTCCTCTAAATTGAACGCAAGAAAACAAGACGGACTGACAAGCTTAAAGCGATTCGGAAAGTGCTTCTGAATCAATCGGTATTATGATATTTTGGAATAATATCGATGTAATTTATTTCATTTTGATTTACACGAGTTCAATTCTTAGTCTAACTTTCAATTTATATTTATATGTAGGCAAAGCGACGGCGCTGGCGCACGTGTAATCACAAGCACAGACCAAAGTACGGAGAGTTAAAACAAGCGTTTTTTCTTTCAACGTTGCCTTTACCGTGTTCTCAACTTACTATACATGACAGATGTGATAAAAGGTGATGGGTTTATTTCAAGGCCTTCTGAGTCTTGCATACATTCGCATAAACTTAATATACCCATTTACCGCTAGTGGTCCGGGTATAAAAGTAGAGTAAATAAATACAAAGTTTTTCTAAAATCTCGATATTGATAACTATATCAGTTCAAGTAAAAAAATTTAACTCGTTCTGTACCGAATCTTTTATACCCATCACCCCATTATCCCAAAAACGACAAAACATGTGAAAGAACATAGTTTTCATGCTCTATAATGAGGGGAGTGGGCGCTGCTGATTTCTTCTATTTTGAGAATAGGCATGTGGG